CTTAATTAATTATTTACTAATTAAGTAATTAATTTAGTGAACAAACCACAATAAGAGGACTCAAATCCTGGTTCCACTTTGTGGAGCATTTTCACGTCTCTGACGTGAACACCTGGAAACATTCAACATTAACATTAATCACAGGTGTTACTAATGTTAGAGCGCACGCACACCAGCACCGTCACACAAATGGATTAAAGATTGACCTAAAAGTTACGACCCGATGTTTTAAAAGCTGAAGAAATCCGCTATGACAACATGTGATTCTTTGTGATGTTTGAGGAGTAAAGTGGTCTAAAGACGAGGACATTTAACATGTGATGCTTTGTGATGTTTGAGGAGTAAAGTGGTCGACAGACGTGGACATTTAACATGTGATGCTTTGTGATGTTTGGGGAGTAAAGTGGTCTAAAGACGAGGACATTTAACATGTGATGCTTTGTGATGTTTGGGGAGTAAAGTGGTCTAAAGACGGGGACATTTAACATGTGATGCTTTGTGATGTTTGAGGAGTAAAGTGGTCGACAGACGTGGACATTTAACATGTGATGCTTTGTGATGTTTGAGGAGTAAGTGGTCTAAAGACGAGGACATTTAACATGTGATGCTTTGTGATGTTTGAGGAGTAAAGTGGTCGACAGACGTGGACATTTAACATGTGATGCTTTGTGATGTTGAGGAGTAAAGTGGTCTAAAGACGAGGACATTTAACATGTGATGCTTTGTGATGTTTGAGGAGTAAAGTGGTCTAAAGACGGGGACATTTAACATGTGATGCTTTGTGATGTTTGGGGAGTAAAGTGATCTAAAGACGAGGACATTTAACATGTGATGCTTTGTGATGTTTGAGGAGTAAAGTGGTCTAAAGACGAGGACATTTAACATGTGATGCTTTGTGATGTTTGAGGAGTAAAGTGGTCGACAGACGTGGACATTTAACATGTGATGCTTTGTGATGTTGAGGAGTAAAGTGGTCGACAGACGTGGACATTTAACATGTGATGCTTTGTGATGTTTGAGGAGTAAAGTGGTCGACAGACGTGGACATTTAACATGTGATGCTTTGTGATGTTTTAGGAGTAAAGTGGTCGACAGACGTGGACATTTAACATGTGATGCTTTGTGATGTTTTAGGAGTAAAGTGGTCTAAAGATGGGGACATTTAACATGTGATGCTTTGTGATGTTTTAGGAGTAAAGTGGTCTAAAGACGGGGACATTTAACATGTGATGCTTTGTGATGTTTGAGGAGTAAAGTGGTCGACAGACGTGGACATTTAACATGTGATGCTTTGTGATGTTTGAGGAGTAAAGTGGTCGACAGACGTGGACATTTAACATGTGATGCTTTGTGATGTTTTAGGAGTAAAGTGGTCTAAAGACGGGGACATCTTAACATGTGATGCTTTGTGATGTTTGGGGAGTAAAGTGATCTAAAGACGAGGACATTTAACATGTGATGCTTTGTGATGTTTTAGGAGTAAAGTGGTCTAAAGACGGGGACATTTAACATGTGATGCTTTGTGATGTTTTAGGAGTAAAGTGGTCTAAAGACGGGGACATTTAACATGTGATGCTTTGTGATGTTTGAGGAGTAAAGTGGTCAAAGGACGAGGACATCGGGGCGGTTCCACTCGTCCTCTTAACAGGACATTTTGTTTTGATGCCTCCTGGTGTTTTGGATCGTAACTCAACCAGCAGACTGCTGAGCGTAGCGAGTACAAACAAAGCTCCTCTACACACACTCCTCATGCATTGCAACGTTATGTAGGACACACACACAACTCCTGAACTCACAAATCGCACTATAATAGACATAAACACACACAAACGCACACACAGTCGCACATTTCTTCTCCAAAAGCAACCTACACACACGCCCTCCCACTCAACAAACATATTTAGGCCACACACAAACACACACACACACACACACACTTTTACTGTACGTCCACTGCAAAGTAACACACAGCAGCCAAACGACCTCCCACACATTCACACTTCTTTCCACTTCCACTCCATCCAACATTTCTTGTTTTTGTGCCATTTTTCTCCGTCTCTTTCCCGAGCTTCCTCCGGCCGTCCCGCCTTTCATCCCCGTCTCAATCATCAGTTATTGATCCGTCTCCGGGGAGGAGGGACCCGCCCCTCTCCGTCCTCTATTTTTAGACGTAGCTCAGTGGGAGACACGACGTCCAGCTCAGGTTCAGCTGGGACCGGATGAAAGACAATAACCATTGAAGAGTTGAAATGAGGCGCAGCCACAGGTTGGAATTTTAACTTTGATATAAAAAGTAATTGATGGAACATCAAAGGTTTCTCTTCACACACCTGGTGTACTTTGAAAAATGCATGAAGGTCAAATCTGAAAATGAGGCCGACCTTTTGGAGACCGAAGGAGGTGCACTTTTTCAAAGACCTGGATCCACTCGGCAGACAGAACTGTTTATTTGAACACACAGGTAGATGGAGGTTGACACTGGGGAGGCTGGATGCCGGATGCTGGAGCTCCGGAGGGGAACTGGCGAGGCAGGAAGAAGAGCTGGTCGAGGCGGAGGAGCAGGACACAGAGTAAAACTGGGGAAGAAGCAGACGGCTGGGAGTTAAATCCTGGACAGCAATACCAGCACTAATAGTTAAGCAATAAAATACTGTTCGAAAGAACAGCCGCCGGGAAGCAGATTACCACAAGAGTAACTGACGAAGTGGCGAAGACTGGGAGATCAGACCGGGCTTAAATACTGGAGGCGAGTGGAGGCAATCAAGAAGATCAGCAGCAGGAATTGCTTGAAGATCTCAACTAGACCAGCTGACAACCAGGAGGGGGGAGAGGAAAAAACTCAAAAGACAGACAGACAGACCCAACACCAGGCAGCCATCTCCAGTTAAAGACCATAAAGGAGAGGATGCTTTTGGGCGGGGCTTAATCTGATTGACAGGTTAGTGATGATCAAAATCCCAAAAGTGGTGTTATTCAAAGTAAGAGATCTCAATACTACTGAAAAGTATGAAAAGGACACAATCCTGCAATCGTGCTCTGAACACAGCTGACATTCTGCAGGGTTGTGTTTTTCCCAGCAGGCATTGCAGCAGACCTCCACCCTTCACTTCACATGTGACGCACACACACACACACACACACACACACACCGGCCTCCCCACGCTGCAGGCCTTCATCAGCAGCACCGCGGGGGGGCTCCCCGTCCACGCCGACAGTGATCGCTGCTCTGAGACCGCCTCGCTCTCCTGACGCCACCGGGGTCAGCGAGGCCGACCGCCGCCGCGTCCTTCACCACGACGCCTTCAGTCTTTTTCTGTATTCCATCAAAGTGGGAAATCAATGGACATATAACACGGGGCTCCTCTTGAAACATCAACAGCATCCCAAACTAAACTAAATTAGTTATATGCAACATATGCAACACAATGTGACCCATCAAAAGTATATACGGTTATTATTATTTAAGAAGCGCATAATACCGTGTGATAGTCCTATTAAATAATGAGGCATGTAGGTAGTGTGAGTTTTAAAATGTGCTTAGCTCCCATGGGTGCTCATTACGGGCGAGATTGTCTGATCCTTTCTTTCCTTGCTGTTTGAACTGAAGCGTCAGACGGTCGGCGCGACGACTTTTTAGCTGCCGCCATTACGCAGACACACCAACACACTCCTCTTCGGCGCGGCGTTTTGCCGTTTGGGATGTCTGCAGTGCAGCGTCCTCCGCTCTTGCAGAATTGATTCCTCCTCCCTGCTGCTGCAGAGCCAAAGAATCCAGACTAAAAACACTCAGCTGTGCCTCGTGCACAATTAACCGCCGGAATCACCTCCCAATTAAAAAGAGGTGGATTTAGAATAAAACACACAAACAGAACATTTCGTTCCAACAGTAAGTAACTGCAAGGCTTTGTTAGTGATGCATCGCTGCTATGACAACACACAACAATATACAAAACACATAGAATAGTACATCTGTTTGAGCTGCATTCTGTGTGGTGACCAGCAGGGGGCGACTCCTCTGCTCCCATAGACGTCTATGAGGAAATGACTCTACTTCTCTGTAGTGACCAGCAGGGGGCGACTCCTCTGCTCCCATAGACGTCTATGAGGAAATGACTCTACTTCTCTGTAGTGACCAGCAGGGGGCGACTCCTCTGCTCCCATAGACGTCTATGAGGAAATGACTCTACTTCTCTGTAGTGACCAGCAGGGGGCGACTCCTCTGCTCCCATAGACGTCTATGAGGAAATGACTCTCTCTCTCTTGATTTATTCCCTCAGTAAACGTTCTAAACATGAGTTTATGGTCTCAGTCTCTAGTTTCAAGTCTTCTTCAACACAACATGATGTTCATTTAGTGAACTATGGTCAAACAGACCATGAAGCAGGAGATGCTTTAGGGGCGGGGCTTACTGTGACTGACAGGTTGGCAAGGGATGACACACCCCCATACATGAGTTATGAATGATAGAACCGTTTTTTTGTGGTTCTATAAATTGTACTAGTCATTGAAAATGTTGAGAGGATAAAAGCCTGTTAACTGCCCCTGAAGGCATTTATCTGGGGTAATTTTATAAAGTATTGAACATGTGTGCATAAAACAAAGTGTGATCATCACAGCGGTTCTCTTCAGTGGCTTCTTGAAGTACTCCTGATACACCGGATGTGGCAGTGAGGGTGTTCCTAAAAGGTCCCTGGAAGCATCTATCCCTCCTGCTAATAACTATACATGAGGGACTATTGGGAATAAGCTCAACATAAAAAGGCGTTATCGTCGTGGTTGGATAACAGTGTGTTGTCTTCCTATTGGTTCATCAGAGGGGACAATGAGACAGTTTGTCTTTTTTGTCAAGATGAGAAATGAGATGAGAGAAGTAAAAATATCTACAACATAGTTGGTTTTTAACATAAAGGTGTATTTGGATGTTAACGCCATGGAGGTGACCTCCACGTCGCTCTGCAGCAGCTTCTTTCCATCACTAACAAAACGCTTTCGTCCCGCAGACGCCATGCTGCTCCCGGCGGTCGCTCTGATTGGCCTGCTGTGCCTGGGCCACGCCCCCCGCGCGCTGGGATTGGCCCGGCTGTCGGAGGACGCGGAGCTGCGCTCGGCCTTCTCGGTGGCGCGCACCAACAGCATGGAGGGCGGGCCCAAGATGACCGTGACCTTCGACGCCGTCTACGTCAACATCGGCGGGGACTTCGACCCCAAAGCCGGCCTGTTCCGCTGCCGCGTGGCGGGCGCGTACTACTTCTCCTTCACGGTGGGGAAGTTCCCCCACAAGGACCTGTCCGTCATGCTGATGAAGAACCGGAACGAGGTGCAGGCCATCGTGTACGAGGAGAACGCCGGCGAGGAGCGGAAGGTGGGTAGGCGCAGTCCTCATCCTTCTGGCCGGGGTCGTGCAAATTCCCCCAGAATGCCGAGCGGGCTGACGGGGTTGCGGCTGGTGTGCGGACGTGAATCCCTCTTCTCCGCCCCCTCAGGTGCAGAGCCAGAGCGTCATGCTGCAGCTGGAGTTCGGCGACACCGTGTGGCTCCGTCTCCACGGCGACCCTCGCTACGCCCTCTACAGCAACACCGGCCACTACACCACCTTCAACGGCTACCTGGTCTACCCGGACACCTACGGCTTCCAGACGCACCACCACCCGCGGCCCCAGCAGCAGGACGACCAGGCGAGGGAGGCGCAGGAGGAGGATGACGAGGAGGAGGAGGAGGAGGAGGAGGACGAGGCGGACGGGCAGAGATCCGCCTTCTCGGTGGGGCGCACCCAGAGCATCGTGGGGGTCAACCAGGCCGGCCTGCCGCAGCACCGCCCCGTCGGCTTCGACGCCGCCTTCGTCAACATCGGCGGCGACTTCAACGTGACGGAGGGCCTGTTCACCTGCCGCGTGGCCGGCGCCTACTACTTCTCCTTCAACGTGGGCAAGCTGCCGCAGAAGACGCTGTCCGTCAAGCTGATGAAGAACCGCCTGGAGGTGCAGGCCATGATCTACGACGACAGCCAGGGCGAGAAGGCGCTGCAGAGCCAGAGCCTGATGCTGGCGCTGAGGGCGGGCGACACCGTGTGGCTCTACTCGCACCAGAGGGACGGCTTCGGGGCGTACAGCAACCACGCCAAGTACATCACCTTCACGGGCTTCCTGGTCTACCCGGACTTCCCCAACTCCACCAGCACCGCCGGCAGCACCAGCAGCCAATCACACGCGGGCAAGAAGCCCTAGCTGCCGGGCCGGGGCAGCGAGGGACTGGACTGTGTGTGTGTGCAGAAAACCGGCCGGTCAAAGAGCCAAAGAGACGTCGGAATGAATGAATGAATGAAAATCTCCGTCCCGGGGTTTTGTCACTTTGTCACAGGCAGCGGCGGGACCCTCCCCGACCCTTCGGTCCGCGTGGACCCGACTCTCCACATCCTGCTTCCACCTCATCCACAGACCACCTGGCTGACGCCACATCGGGATCATCAATGTTTCATGTTTCGCAGAGGAGAAATAAATCTTCAAGCTGTAGTTCGGGCTGACGGGCCGCACTGATGGGGGGAGTTGGGTGGTCCCACATGGAGGTGAGGAGCTTTGCTTTAAAGGGGAACTCTTCCTGTGATGCATCTTTGTCCTCGTCAAAGACCGTTTCTGCTCCAATGTAACAAAACAAAAACAAAATAAAAAGACATAAAAAGCGTCCCTGTCTTTGATGTTCAGAGGATGGTGGAAGTTATGACGGTCGCTCTTTTCTTCTGGAAGGCGACGAGCTCCCGGTGACGTTTGCATGAAGCTCTTTAGTGTAAAAAATAAAGTGAAATGGCCGCTGCGCTGTTGATTTGAACGAGCGTGACGCTCTGCTCCTTTTTCTCCATTTCTGTGGTCAGACTTCGTGGTGCGTGAAGCGATTTGAGTAAAACTCATCTGAAGCACTTGTGTGATGCATGATTGTAACATAAAATAGTGAATAAAAAACAAACCAGCTTTACACTGTTAAATGTGTATTTTTATTAGGTGGATCGCTTACGCAGTAACTGACGTTGTGTTGGATGTTTCTTTCTTTCTAAAGATCGACGGTCTCTTGTATAACAAACCTGGGTCAAAACATACAGTAAAACAATGCTCAGAAAAATAGGGAATTATGTGTCCCAAAAATTACAAATACAACCATGATGGAAAATTTAAATATAAAAGAATATGTATAAAAACAAAAAATATTTTGACCCAGGTGTTGTTTGCAGAAAACTGCAAAATGTTTGAGTATTTCTTACATGTACGATGAACGATTCAATGGAAATATTGACAAAATAAAAAAATGACAGCCTGAAGTCTTTTTGTATCCATGATGTGAACGAACGATGAAATCTGCAGTTGTTAAAAGAGAATCTTCATTTTAGATTTTATATCGTGTGTTGCAGCACCATCTGCTGCGTGAGAATCAACAGCAGAATAAAACATCCCCGATGCAGCGTGAAGACGGTCATAACACACAGTTACCACGTTGTGCTCAGCGCTCCACAACCAGCAGTAAAGCCTCACTGCAAGATCAGCTCCTCAGTGAGGTTGAAGGCCACCATGATCATTTAACATGGTAGCAATACCCAGCATGCACCTGTTGGGTGCGTGTGATTTGGTTCCCTGGCCAGGTTGTGCACAGAATCACTGATCAAAGCTTTGTGTGTTAAAGCTGCATTCTGTGTGGTCACCAGCAGGGGGCGACTCCTCTGCTCCCATAGACGTCTATGAGGAAATGACTCTACTTCTCTGTAGTGACCAGCAGGGGGCGACTCCTCTGCTCCCATAGACGTCTATGAGGAAATGACTCTACTTCTCTGTAGTGACCAGCAGGGGGCGACTCCTCTGCTCCCATAGACGTCTATGAGGAAATGACTCTACTTCTCTGTAGTGACCAGCAGGGGGCGACTCCTCTGCTCCCATAGACGTTTATGAGAAAATAACTACTTCTCTCTTGATTTATTCGCTCAGTAAACATGATCTCTAGTTTCAGGTCTTCAATACAGCATGAGTATATTGTGAAATTGCCAAACTAAATTGAAAACCAGCAGAAAATTGTCCCAAAAGCGCAGAGATGTGCCGTTAAAACAGCAAATAATTTAAATCAAGTTTGGAATGAGATGTTCAACAACGTAGTGCAGCTGAGGTATCTGCAAACATTTGATCATAAAGACATTGAAAAAGGAACATATACACAAATGATGAGGTTTTATCACTATTTTTTATTTACATAAATATGTCAGGTGGGGTTTGTTCGGTCCCAGAATGAAACATGACAGACACAGACAAGTCAGAGGGGCGCTTCATTTCTTGTCGGGCTGGGCGGCGGCGGCGGCATCGCCGGCCTCCAGCTTGGGCGCGGCCTCTTTGGGCTCCCGGTAGGCGGGGAACACCTCCCACGGCGTGTTCAGGTCGAACTTCCTGAACTCCTGCGACAGCTCGACGGGCTCCGCCACCACTCGCTTCACCTCGTCGTCGTAACGCACCTGCAGAGAGAAGATCATTTAAAGGAATTTCACCTTTTTAATCTTTGAGAAACATCGGTGTAAATACTGTGGGGTCTTGGGGAAGTGATTTTATTCTTATTTAAGAACAGAACTAGTGTTGTGTGAAGTGTTCAGACAGAAAATGACCCAAACAGAAGCAGCGTTGTGTCCAACCAGTGGCCAGAAAAAGCTAAAGCTAGCTAGCTGACTAGCCAACAGCCGGCTCTACCCCATTGGTGAGCACTTTGAGCCCAATGGCGTGTGTTATCACCATAGCAACCATCAATAATCAATCGAATTGACCACAGAACGGTTTCTCTTCCCGACGTCCGAGTACCTCCACGTATCCCGAGAGGGGGAAGTCCTTCCTGAAGGGGTGACCCTCGAAGCCGTAGTCCGTCAGAATACGCCTCAGGTCCGGGTGGTTGGCGAAGAACACGCCGAACATGTCCCAAACCTTCAGGAGACACACACACACACTTTAACGCTCAGTTCCTCTGGCTGTCAGCGGAGTGTAAGACGGCGCCGGACCGGGCTCCCAGGTGGCGACTCACCTCCCTCTCGTACCAGTTAGCAGCTAAGTGGACGGAGACGGCGGAGTCCACTGGCGTCAACTCGTCCGTGTACGTCTTAATGCGCAGACGGGAGTTGTAGCGCAGCGACAGCAGGTGGTACACAATCTGTACGCACACAAGGAGAATGTTTAGATGACATCTCAGATGAAGAGGACGGCCTCTGCATACAAGCACTTTGAGTTTGAGTGTCAGCTACCTCAAAGCGGTTCTGCCGGGATGGGATGTCGACCGCCGTCAGGTCGATCATGTTCCTAAACTGGGTGTTGGTGTGGTCCCTCAGGAAGGTGAGCACGGGGATCACCCCGTCGGGGTGGATCATCATCTCCAGCTCGTTGTAACAGGTCACCTAAACACACAAACACCTTTTTGAATATTGCATTTGAAATGCTTGAGGTGTTCGAGAGGTTGCAGCCTTGTCGACTCCAGCTGAGGCCAAGCAGCCAAAACCCGCATAAAACACTCGCCCACAATCATTTACACATGAGCAAACACTATTCAGCTGGTGCCTTAGCTGATTTAAACTGTGCTTCACACACAGACGTCATATGAGAAGAGGTCACGTTGCAAGCGATGAAGAGACGACGCCTCATACGTTGTGTGAACTGACCTGGACCTGCTGGACGTATTTGGGCATCATCTCAGCCACGTACTCCCCAAACGCTGCCAGCTGGCTGTGAGTGACGGCATCCTTGGGCCTGACGGTGGCTGCGTGGAGGACAGAGGAGACCAGAGGTTATGGAGGAATCATCGAGTCAGCACATACTCATAAGTAAAGAAATAGTTTTTCCATGAGGATTGTTTCAGTTTGTTTTGGGGGTCATTGTGCGTGACGTTGGTGTAATGATCGTCACAGTGAATATAGCAACGGGATTACAGCTTTACGCTTCTCTTCAGACAGTGCGGGTCGAACAACCCTGCTTTTTTCTTTCTCACCGAACGGCTAAGCCACGCCCCCTCCCGCTCGACCAATCCCGGGCCCGCACCTTGACCGACGCGTGCAATGATTGGCCAGAGTGAGGAGATGAACGACTGACAGCTTTAATACAAACTTCAAACTGTTTAATATCCCAGTAGCTCTTGTGCCACTGCAGCACCAGTTGGTTTGTACTCACGTCTGGTTTCGGTGATGGAGCCCTGCAGCCTCTTCTGCTGCTGGAGGACACACGAACTCTTTGCAACTGGGGAGGAAGGAAACCACAAACAACGTTGGCAGCATAAACACGCCACCGACGACCACAGAGCTGTAGCGATGTGAGCGACAGCGATGCGATGGAAGAAAACGCGCAGAACTACCGGCAACACTCGTGTCAGACCGTTAATGCCGTTCAATTCCACTGTCGCATAAAGATAGCACCTACAGTACCGTCGGTGTTATTCAACCCGGCGCATGCTAACGTTAGCTTTAGCTAGCTCGAAGGTCAAACCCAACACATTTGACTGTTACAAAATAAAACCGCGTCGTTTTCACAGGCAGGAAAATACACTGTAACCGTCGCATGCTTCGCTGCGGCAGGTGGGTGAACATTTAAAAGGGGTTTCTAGTCTACTTACGGTTATAACTCCTGCCGAGACCTCCGCGGACAAACCGTACTAGCGACGCCGCCATGTTTGTTCCCAGGCGTTGTTTGCTCGGGGTGAAGACGCGGATGTTTGGCGGTCTGTCGCCTCCTGTCGGGCCGGAGGAGCAGTGCGATATTCAGCTTAACTTTCCTGCTTATAATCGGTGTTAAATAGGGGGGAATCAAAGGCACTAAAACAGTTAAGATAAAATAAGGCAAAATATGAGACGTGTAACGTTACTTAGGAGCGCTATGCGGTTTATTGTGTGATGTCGGCGCCCCCGTGTGGACAAACGTGTAAGTGTTTCTACGCACCAGACTCCGTTTAGAAAACCCCGATTTTGCTGCAGCAGGATCTGCCTTCCACAGTCCTGGTTCTGGTTCTCCTGAGCCGCCCTTCCTTCCAGTGGACCCACCAGTAAGGCCGTATTTCATAGGGTTTGATTACGTTACTGGATCAATATTTAAGGATTTGATCATTTAAACCATTTCATACGGTTGCTGTTTGAGGTGGACCAATGTTAACTGCTTTATATACGTTAGCATACAATAAACACTCAAGGTCAAATACCTTAAAGCTGTACTTGATTACAGTTCTTAACTGATTCACTTTAGTTTGGCTCAATCCCCGATAGATGTAATACATTCATAAAATCAATGGATGAGGAAGTCAAACTAAAATAACTGAACTGCTTAGGTTTTGGCAACTATTAGAAGTAAAACTTTTTTTTTTTTTTAAAAGTCTAGTTCCTATTTTTTTACCCAACGATCTTGTGATCAGAATTCATGAAACCAAATATCGTTGAGTAAACTGTGCAACGTTCACATTGAATATTGACAAATATTACTATACCGTCTATATTCCGAGGATCATGAAAAGTGTTTTGTCTGTCAGTAGATGCTCAAATGTTATCTGTTACTATACAGAACACATATACAGACGTAAAATGAAAATATAAAGTAATAAAATCTTGACATGACATGACATGTTTTTATTATTACAGTCAAACACACTCTGCCCTGTTGCCTGCTGGCTTCAGGAGTCACGGTATTTTTCGGGTGAAAAATTGTTCCAGAAACCCAAACAAATCATCTGTTATTACAAAAGTTTGTTTACATTTATTTCTACACCTTTAAGCCACCAGCTGGATGTGGAGTTAAAGGAAAGACGCTTTGCTTACAAAAATAAAGTGATAATATTCCTTTTAGAAAATTACCAACTAAAACTTTTTTGCAGTAAAAACTTGCGAGAACATTTAAAAATGTTGGGGGAATGCACATATATTGGCCTTTTCTTTGAGGGTAAACCTTCTGAGTCGAGGCTCTGTACGAGTCCAATATCACAGCAGCAGGCCCCGCCCCCGGCCCTTAGGCCCCGCCCCCTCAGCCGGCTCGTTGGCACACCTGCTGGTAGTACCTCCTCAGCATCTCCAGCTGGGCCGAGCGCACCAGCACGTGCGGCCGGACGGACATCAGCTTCTCGCAGGCTTCCTCCGGCGTCCAGCTGTGCAGCTGTCAGCAGGACGAGTCAAAGGGGTCAGAGGGTCACGATGGGTCAGAATCTTCTGAGTTTTGATCTCTCTTTGAGGTCAAGGCGACAGTTCGGATGCATGAGGCACACAAATGACCTTTAACAACTAAAGGTGAACACACATTTTCTCCCGTTTCGGCAGACGGACCCACACGGTTTATTTATTCATCAGATACTGACCCGGATGAGGTAGGCGGCGGCCATGGTGGCGCTGCGGGAGCGCCCCGCCTTGCAGTGCACGTACACGCTGCTGCCTTGCTCTCGGTGCCGCAGGGCGAACTCCACCCCTCGGCTCAGGTTCTCCAGGCTGGGGACGCCGGTGAAGTCCGTTGTGCTCAGCCGCAGCTGCTCCACCCCCGCCGCCCGCCACTCCTGCAGACAGCGTCCGACCAATCAGATCGCTCTGGGCGTAGCATATAGAACCGTCGTGGGATCTGATTGCCCCGCATCAAACTAAAGCGCAGGGTTATTTTTTGATTTAATCCTTGTGACAAAGACAACAACTGCTCACATTAAAGAAAACTACGGCGCCAATTTATTATAGAAACGTTTGTGGATTCATTTTCAGCTGACTGATTAATTCATTATTTGTCTCTTTGCTTTTCACAGTTTAAAGCAAATCACATCACCAACAGTTGAACTGACTTTCAGCATCTGCGAGGAAAGAAAAGGACACTTTAAACCCGTCTGTTTCAATAGCGTACTTGGTTAGAATAATAGTTAGAATCCAGCTGGGATCGCATCCTAATAAAGGGAATAAAGGGAACTCACCTCGGCTGAGTTGCAGAAGTATTTGGTCTCGTACTCCTCGTTCATGGTGATGACCCCTCGGACGTTTTCCGCTTCTACCAACTGAAAAAACACCGGAAACGACACCAAGCGTCAGCTAGTGGGCCAGAATAAAAGCAGACATGTGGATACCTGCAGAATTAAACTGGAATACAACAACTAAAAGTCTACGAGACCCTCCAACTGTCGCCTTATATTACAACCGGTGTATTCTTTAAAAACGGGACCACCCGTACGGGGGTCATGTGTGATGTCATTCAAGTCCCTCGATCAGCCAGAAGCTTTTTAACAGCAAAACATGTATCCAAATGTATTTATTTTTTTATGCATTTGTTGCATTAATGATATTTAAATATGTAAATAATTAGGTTATTCTCACCAAATTGTACAAATGGTGAAATATATATATATATATGATTTTATATTTACAATATAAAACGTATGTTTCTCTTGTTTTTTTCACATAACTAAGAAAACATTTTTTAAACAGGCTTGGCAACTTAAGTTAAATACTTAATATTCCGGTTGACCCTTTAACTCGCGCGACATTCAACATGCAAACGTTTACTTTTGTAAAAAGGACTTTTAATATTTTCACACGTGTCATTTTATTTGGATAGTTAAATAAAAAACAAAATCACAACAAAGATACTGATTTCACAGTGAGCCAGAAAGAAAACATCAATATTAAAATACTCTCTGAAGACGCAAAAGATACTGATTAACTGAAACACTTGTTACAAGATAAACGGCGACAACGTGACCAACATTACTCCTTTTTTTACCGAATCGAAAGTACCTGGACGTGCGCGTTAGAGACGCACCTGTCTGGTGATGGACCGGAACGGGAGCGCGCCCAGGACCACGGTGTCGTCCACCCGGTCGAACCAGCGCCTCGACGTCATCTTCTCCATGGCGACGGTGTAGGCCAACGTCGGGTAGAAGAGCAGCCGCGCGAGCGCGCCGGACATGGCTGCAGTCCGGGGGGGCGGCCGGGGGGCGGGCGGCTTCCTACCGGGACGACGACGGTTCGCTTTCGGGGGGAGACGCACAGCAGCGAGCGCGTCTGAGCTGAAAGGTGGAAACGTCCCGGAGAGTAAGGTGCGCTTCCTTTACGGCAGGCGGACCCAGTTAGGAGTCGGACTTCCGGCGCGGCTCCTTCAGAATAAAATCCGTGACCTCCACAAAAATGGTTCTTCGTAAGTTTTAGTTTGTAGTAAAAAGTTTGGATTTAATTATTATATTTCTACCAAAGGTTTACCAAGGTTCAACAACAAGCAAAACCATTAAATAAATGGACAACATGTTACTTTGTACCGCAGTTTATAGTGTATATAGACAGATGCTGGTGCGTAGTTAAATGATTGTAAATGCTGCTTAAATAATAACCGAATCTATAAACTATAATGCTCTCTGTTTTGGAGTATGAAAACTGTTTGTTGCTGATGTTTAAGATAATAATGAAATGAAAAAAATTGGAATAAATATAAATAAAAAAACTGATTTGGCTTGGCTACTTACCATCTTAAAAGTCTATTAATCCTGACGGCATGTGGTTAATTAACATTAACTTTTAAATGGGACACCAACCACATTTGCGACACATTTTATTCTGACTAGACCGAAAATAGACTAAATACATTTTTACAAACACAGGAGAAAAACATTTTAATACATTAATAAAGACAAGAGTACAATCCAGCAAAATTATTATCAAAATCAAGAATATATATTTTTCTTGTCCCCTTATTTGTAGGAATTTGCTCTTTTTCTTGCTTTTCACCTTTGTACTTATGTTCTTCCCAGTTTTGGTTAGAATAAATTCCCTACATTTTCATTTTGGTTATGCAGGAAATAAGTTAGAAGAATATTCTGTAAACCCGTTACCTATGAACCCCTTTCACCTTAGACACAGACTTCTCATGATAAACATTATCATCTAATTTAATCATCATTTAATTGATATCATAAACCCCACTGAGTCACATGACCTCACACAAGCAAACTGGCCAATATTTAACCTGAATGTTGACGTCAGCTGGTCACGTGACCTCAAATCAGCAGACCTTTCTTGCTGTTATCTTCCTGGTGATTGCGTTGGGAGTCTGTTGCGGTTGTAAATTGTTGCTCTCAGATCAATGCTTAAATCTTTAAGACCTTAAATCAGGGAAACCTCGAAGGCTTCAAGGACAATATTCTCTTGGCTTCGCTAGACACAAAAACATTTGTAAAAAAAGAATAATGTCACACTTTTTTAAATGAATGAGATAATTTTGAGTTTTCTCTGCAAACGCCAATATGTACCATAAAAAAAGGATAGAAATCTGTGTCCGTAACCATTTACCTTATTTCAGTGAACTAAGTGTGATGAAGTGGAGTCCTTACATGACCAGGACCTGAAATATGTATAATGTATATATGACCAACTATGACTTTTAATTGGTCTCATTGCGTGTTTTCACATCTATTTGCGGTAAACTATTGAGTCCAAATCCTACACACTCATCTTAAAAAAACACAACCACTGTGCACTTAAAGTGAAAATACATTTATTATATTTTCCATAATCAGCCATGGTAGAGTGTTGACTAAATTCAAACAGCTCCGATATCGAGCGTTGTTTAATCACTCCTGTTGGTTATTGTGAAGGGAACAGCGGACGCAGAAATATCTACAAAGATACATAAATGTGTATAAAACCCCACAAAAGACCCACATTTGGATGGAACAGTGAGAGCGTGTTTAATGTTTCACGATGCGCTGCAAATATAGATTTTTTTCTAAAAAAAGTGCAAAACATTCTCAATACATTTGGCCTTGTAACCCTGGATTGCAGAACATCAGAAAAACAGAATTTCTTTCGTTTCTTTACAAAAAAAAAAAAAGGTGCGGTACGAAATGCAAACGTTAATTTACATCTTGATAACTGGCAACATGTTGAGAGCTAAAGTAGTGTGAGTTTAATTGATCAGAGTCCGTGTTCATCCACCGACTTAACACTTTATATATTATTACCTTCATCTACTCATTAAAGCGTGCGGCTGTGAGAGGCGGCTCGGGCGGAGAGGTCAGAGGTTAGAGGTGGTGGAGTTCAGGATGTCGTGCTGGATCTTGGCGTTGGAGGCCTTGGAAAGGTCTCGCTGTGGAGACACAGAGGCAGACGTTGACGAGTCCAAGCGTGAAGGAGACAGGAGACAGAAAGCGGAGAGATTAGAACAAACAGCCCCCCCGCTGTGTTACGGTTATAGAACGACGCTGTGACGGCCGTTAGTGGGAATTAGGGCGTCGTGGCACAAGCCGATCTCAGTTGGTATTTTGGCGACATTAAAACATCGGCCAAATGAACCGTTTTGGACTTTGAGCAAATGCAGAATCCCGTTGTTCATTTCTAAAGTCTCATTAAGACAAATGTCACTTTATTTTATTCTCAATAAAAAAGGTAGAAAGAAACATCTACAGCAAACTCATGAAGATACTCATTCAACGTTACATTTGCATGAGGAGGACGAGGGTCCATTTCGCTAATTACCCAACTGAGATCAGCTTGTGCCGCTCTGAAACGGATCCGACCACTCGGCGCCATCGAATTAGACGGAAAGAAAAGAGCCTCTAACTGCAGGAATACATCATCTTTCAGGTATCAATGGTTGTCATGGAGATGTATGCCCTTTAAAACAGCGACTCCTCCGTTCACCGGGATGCTGCAGGACGAGCTGCAGGACGGGTTGTTGTGCGTTTGCTTTACGGCCACAACTTGACTACAGAAACCACGCTTACGAAATGACAATTCTTCATCCTGAGCACATCTGCACAGATGGAAATGTCCGTTTATGGAGCGTTCCCGCAGACAGACGAGGGCTTCATTGTAAAATACCAGGATGTTAAAACCGATTTGGTGTTTTCAGATTGTTTGTCTGCTTTTACCGCTCTTTTTCCGTCGGTCGCAGCTCTTTGTAAACCCCTTTTTTCTGTAGGTGCTGTATAAATAAAGTCATTATTCCTGCTGCCCTCCTGGGAAGTTTCCGGTACGTGGGCGTTTTGGCGCATGCCTTGAATTCTTCACCGCGAGTCAAACTGGTGCCGCTGGTTGTTTAAGGCGCGGCGGAGTGCAGCGCGACTGGACCGATTCACTCTGAGACGTAAACGCAGCTTTTCTCTCCCAGTGAGCTCCACTGATTTGTCGCACAGAAACGAGGGAAGCGGAAGCAGAGGAAACGGGGTTAATTACCACAAACTCGGAATACGTGCTGGCTACGGACGCCACGCTGAAGCTGCGCTGGGGACTAGCGGGGGTCAGCAACGCACCGCTCAGAGCCCCCCCCTTCAGCTGGGCCTCGTTCTCCTTGTTGCAGCCCTGCAGCCGAGGGTTGTGCGGTCTGCCGCCGCCGGGGGTCCGCGACGCCGGAGCCTGCAGGGACACACGGGTCAGACCGGGGGGGCCGAGAGGCCTCGCTAGAGACTTTGGGACTGACGGGCGGACCGGAGGGATTCTAGTTCAGGGCCCAACAATGGAAACACGTCACGAATGTAAAGTAACCCCCCCCACTCCCCCCCACAGCGAAACCCACCTTGTTAGCCGACAGAGGGGGGCGGGGCGCGGGCGAGCGGCAGAGCGTTCCTCCGTAGACGGAGCGGCTGGTGCTGTTGGAGGCGGCGCTGGAGATGCTTGAGGTCGCGTTAAACTGGTGGGGGGGGGGGGGCAGGGTTAGCCGCGACACACACTGACGAAAGCAAGAATCCACAGCAGTCTCACAGTCTCAAAAGTAGAAACCCACCTTTCGGCTCTTGGTCGGCGTCGGAGTGCCGAGGAGTCTGCGCTTGGTGGGGGTCCGCACCGCCGTCCCGTACAGCATGTCCTCCTCCGTCTGCTTGCTCTTCTTCAGATGCTGCGGAGAGACGAGTCAGCACGTTCCACAGCAGAGCGCGGACGTCGGCGGGCGGCCGGGCGGCTTACCCGCTCTAGTTTCTCCTTCTCTTTGTCTACTCGGTGCAGCTCCCACTGCTCCTCCACGTACACCAGGAACTTCTCCCCCTTCACCAGGAACTCGCGGCCCTGTTCGCTCTCCCACGCGTCCATCTGGGCCTTCAGCTTCTTTTCAAGCTGAGAACCAACAGAGACGTGAGTGCGGCGCTCGAAGGAGGCGCTGGCGAGGAAGCGGCCGGCGTGGAGTCTTACTTTGGGAAGACTCTTGTGCAGCTCGGACCTCTGCTTCTCCTCTTTGAGGAGATTCCCCCCTCGGTTGGTGAACCTCGTCGGATCGTTGGCTTTTTTCTGGGGGCGAGAGGAAGGACACGGATCACTGCTGGTCATATTAGTTTGTTATACTAGATGCATTTGAAAGGGTTTAGTGAATCTTCCTAAAGCCACAGAAAAGTAAACCAAAACAGAATATTATTGATTTGATTGGAAATGGATGACACACAACATGATCTATGGCCACGTGTAGCTGACGTGAAGCTGTCAGAGCTACGTAACCATGGAGACTGTTCAGGCTGTAACTGGAGAAACGTTATTAAATGTTTGGAAAGTTTAATAAGCGTTTTTAGAGAGAAGCACCAGTAGCGCAGAAGGTTTAATGAATGACATCATTAAATACAGTCCACGCTAACGCTAGCTACGTACTGCTAATGCTAGCCTCACAGATTTAACCGTAGAAATGTACCATCATAGAAACTTGCATCTACTTCCAGGTAACGAGTGTGGCCATTACGCGGCGTTTGCCCGGAACGCGAGGAACATCTGGAATGACTGAGCAGTCTTTAGACGGACAGCTGCAGTGTCGGTGGGCGGGACTACGGACTCACCTCCAGCTGCAGGAAGAGCCTCCAGCTGTCCTCCCACTGGTGGACGCCTTCAAAGAGCTCCCGGTGGTCCTCGTGGTGCTGCTTCAGGCGCTGGAGCTCAGCCTCATGCAGACTCAGCAGCTCCTCGGTGAAGACCTCTGAAAGCAAAGGAACCACGAAGAAAGGACCTTAAAGTCGCTGCACTTCTCCACCGACGAAGACAAAAATTCCAAACCACCCACCGCTGAAGTAGGGAGCGAAGGCCTCCCGCTGGTCGGTGCTGAGGAAGCACTTCTCCCAGAACGCGGCGATCTCGGCGCGGATGGCGTCCGTCACGTTGCGGATGTTCAGCAGCTTCAGCTCCTCCAGGCGCTGAACTTCTGCCCGTAGCTGAAGAAGGGGGGGGGAAAAATAAAAGGGTGGACTTTAGGAAAAGGAGCAGCCGGAGTTCTGACCGTCGGCGGCAGCCACGATGTGCGCACCGCTTCCAGGTTCCTCCTCCTGGACGCGACCATGTGCTCGCCGAAGGCCTCCCGCTCCTCCCGAGGAACGTCCAGTCGGCCCCACAGCCGCTGGATCTGCTGCCGGTGGGCCTCGCACCTCGCCTCGTTCTCCGCCTTCTGCTCCTCCAGCTGCAGGGAAGACACGCAGGACATCAAATGAAGAGCACCGAACATCAGCCGCCGATCGCCACGACAACCCAGAGACTCCTTCAGAGACGTCAACGCGACACGTTGTTGGAGGAAGGTTGTTCAATTGAAGTTAATCAACACTGATGTTAACCGTGTGGTGACGTCATTATTGTCCTTAGTCCTGAGACACATGCACTGGAGCGGTGTCCTCCAGAGTCTGCCAGGTCACCCCCGCTGCTACAGCTGCGTCCTCTGGGGGACGTCTGTCCCGTAGGAGCCCAAATTCCTCTCAGTGAAGCTTTGCTTGCGGCGTCTTACCTGGGAAACCAGCAGTTTGAGAGACATGATGTTGTCTCCTGAGAGGCAAAAAGAGTCCTCGTCCTCGCAGACGACGTCCTTCTCGAAGCTGGTCTCGGGGACGTGGTCCAGCTCTCCCATGTACACGATGATCCGCCGCTTGAGGTCCATGAACTCGGCGTACCGCCGGGCCTGAAACCAGCGAGCGGCAGAGAGGGTCAGAGGTCATGGGACGTATTAATTACTCTGCTTCAGTGACGTAGTCGTTCAGTAAAGGAAGTTCTTCGGTTAACGCCGATTCTCAAATATCCCTCCGAATGTCCCAATTTCAAGGGAAAGAAACAAGAACCCAAATCCACAGCAAAGCGAGCCCCCACCTTCTCGGCGTTCTGGTTGGCGATGTGCTGGCTGAAGCTCTGCAGCTGCTCCGGCGTGGGGACCGAGTCCGGCTGGATGCCGTACGGCGCCGAGCACAGGATGTCGCACAGGTCCTGGTCCTGCTCCAGCAGATCCTTCAGCTGCTGCATCCGCTGGGCCTTCTCCTTCAGCAGAGCCCCCACCTGCGTGCGGATGTTCTTCTCCTGCTGCAGCATGGTGATGCCGGTCTCCTCCTGAAAAGTCATTAAGTCGCGTTCTCAGCGACCAGCTAACTACTGAAAGGACTGAGGGCCGTTCTTTATGAATACGATGAAAACAGAATACGTGTGATCAGGGGCGACCCGAAGCAGGTCAGTACCTCAAACACCGGCAGCTGAAGCTCCAGGAAGAGTTGCTCCTTTTCTGTCCTGCAGCTCTGAATGCTGCTAATGAGCCTCGTCTTCAGAGATTCCTCCTCTTTAATCATCATTTCTAGCAAACTCTGGCAGACAAAGACCGTGAAAGGAATCAGCACTGTGCAGGCGGAGGTGTGGGCGGGTTGAACAGACACCGATGGACAATATGGACACAGACGTTCATTCGTGGACCGTCTCTCCAGGCCCTCGTGTGTGTGTGTGGACTCGTTATGCTCGTATGCAGTCACACTGCTCCCTAAAGATGCAGCTCTACTTGTACCGGTTCTACTTGGACGCTCCCGCTGCCGATAATCCGGGAGATGAGCAAAGTACAAAAACCCAACGGAGTTAAACATGAAATCTTGTTTTCTTGATGATGTTGAAAAGACGATAAAGGGATAAAAGCAAGTGGTACGTTCAGATAATTACTGTAACGCAGCCTTTGCAACCAGGAAAACGTGATTCATTACGATACAGATCGGCTGCAATCTGCAGGACTTGTTCGCTTCCAGGTCTCTGAAGCAGCTAAAAAGATGGTAGCCGACCCCTCTCACCCCGACAAAACCTGTTTGTGTCCCTTCCATCTGGCAGGAGGCTGAGGTCCATCAGGACTAAGACCTCATCAACAGAGCCGGACCCCCACTGACTGACTATAACATTCCACCAGTCACTCCCCCTCATACTGCACATGTCACTATAACTGTCATTCATCACTTTGTTACTTGTTCGTTAGTGCACTTTATGCTTAATATTTTTTTATATTTTAAATGTTTAACTTTATTCCCTTGTTTTATACTAACCCATAGCCTTATTCTACTAACCCATTGCATTAGCATTTCATTTTAATTTATTTTAGTACTTATTACTTGTGCACTGCTGTCTTGTTATCTACTGTCACACTGTCTGTCGCGCACCAACCGCCAAGACAAATTCCTTGTATGTTTGACATATTTTGGCAATAAATGGTTCCTGATTCCTGATTACTTAATATCCCAAACCTTCCTCGTCTCATATCCCAACGTCAATAAAACAGCTGCATCTCGTGGCTCGGGGGCCTCCTCGCGCCTCACCTTGATGTGGTTCTTGACGACATTGGTCCTCTGCAGTCTCTGGTCCTCCGGGATGCCGATCTCCTCCCAGATGTCCTTCAGGTGGCACAGCGCTTTGTTCAGGCACGTCACGGCCTCCGATGCGAGCACCTCGCTGCGGGCACGGACGCGAGACCCGGCGGTCAATACATCGGGCTCGAGGGCAACGACGCGGCGTTTGAAAGGTCACGTGAGCTCAACGTCTCTGCTTCGAGCGAACAGACGTTGGCTGTAGTGTAGCTAAGCTAGCTTAGCTAGGCTGTTGTTGGTCAACCAACAGTCCGCTCTCATTTACCGAACAACAAATAGTATCTAAAAAAAAAAAGTTGATGAACGCGAACAAACTCACCTCTTTCTCATCGTTAGATCCCACTCTGCCTCGATGGCCGCTGTGAGAGTTTAAAACAAGTGAAAACCTGCCGTAGAGCCGCCGGCGCGTCCCCTCACTCTGCTCTCGCGGTCCGCGTCCGTTTGTACGCAGTTCAAAATGCGCGTACTGCGGCGTTCTGCGTTCTGATTGGCTGGTTGCGCGGGAGCGCGTGCTGCGTACAACCAATGTCAGCCGCCGGGGGGGGGATTCACCCGCAAACGACGCTGGCGCGCCGCCGGGCGCCGGATGACTCACGGGGAAAACGAGCACACCCGTTTCCTCTGAGGGCGCGGTGGCGTCCAGCGGCGGTTCGACACGAAACAATAGCGCGGTTGTTATTTTAGACACGAACTAAAGGGCCAGGAATAGAAAAGGTATTCAGATAAAGTAAAAGTACTTATACCGCCCCGGGGAAATACCCCTGTATTAATATTAAACAGTATTTAGATATTATGTGCAACATGTAGATAAAGTAAAAGAAGGTTCTCAGCCAGAGTTTTATTATTAATGCATGTTTCTGGATTTATTTTGCTACTTAATTAACGAATATGTTGCATTCATTCGATCTCTTTTATAAACTGGTGATCATATTGTAACATACATGTTATTTAAAGTTAAGAATGAGGTCACATTTACAGAGTTTAAGTCTGAAGGCCCTTAAAGCCCCCATGGCGCCCCCTACCCCCATAACCTACACATACACTACTATATGTTTGCATCTATAAAATGTCTTTTAAGGGTGATGCATTTTCCAGCTCCAACTCTTTGATTGGCATTTCCGTCCTGGACCATGTGAGTCCTGAGATGGAGCTGGAGCGCGCGTGTGTAATGGAGTAATGACGTTATAGGACACATCTGGACGGGTTACATACTGAGAAGAATAGAATGCGGCTCCGCACTTCTGACCACATTCCTGTCCTTCAATTCAAGCTCCTTCAGAAACATTCAGAGTCCAGTTCCTCTTCACGGCTACTTCCAGACCAAAGCCCTGAATGAAGTGAACCAGCAGGCAGCGTGTTGGCAACGTTTATTCACTTTATACATCTTTACCCTCCTTCCGGGTTGTTTCCGGGAGCGAGGTTCATATCTGGTTGCCCAGCAACGACTCGATGAGTCTCGAGCTGTTTGTGATGGCGGTTGTCACCACGATGAACTTGTAACCTGGGAGAAGAAAGCGTGCGTGTTATTTGAAATGATTGGTAATGGTTTAGAATGCAGCTGCTCTCATGGGGAGCTGGTAAAACTTATTCCACTTCATTTGATTAGGTTACTTTTTCTATAGAAAAGCACGAAACTCGACATTTATGAACATTAATAAATAATTCATAGTTTGAGTTGAGTTGAAATAGAGATTTCTATGAAGAAGTCAAAGACTAATAATGAAATGTTACTGCTTATTGACTGAAGGGTAGCAGGTTAAATAGGTGTTCATCCCATTAACGCCAAGACAAAGACAACATAGAGCTGGAAAGGCTTTGAAATGGACTCGCGCTGCTTCTGGGATGCGACCCGTCGCCGGCGGATTGTCCAGGAATTTACGTGACCAAGAAGGACTTTTCCCCACGTTCACCTTTCTCTCTGCCGAGGAAGCGCAGAGCGGAGATCTCAGAGAAGGTGCAGCCTCCGAGGAACATGACAAGGACGACGCGCCGGGCGTCGCCCTGCGTCCTCGCGTCCGCTCCGCTGCTGCCTGATGACCAACACACATTCATCATCAGTTTATTATGACGTCATGCTCATTCTTGGTATCATTGATATTTTAATAACAATTATTATCATCTTCAGTCATTATAATAATAATAATCACTATAAATCAAATGATTATTGTCAGTCATTATAATAAAACAAATATTGTTGTTATTATTCTTATCATCATAATAATACCAATTGTTATTATCTTTATAATAATAATAATAAATACTACCATGGTTATCAGTAGTATTATAATCGTCACAATAATAAAAATCATCCTCTTATCGCCATAGCAACATCTCTTAATGATCTGACCCGTGACGGCGAACTCGTGTCCGTTGAGCAGCCGGGTGACTTCGTCCATCCCGGTCCAGCCGTCCCGCTCCAGCACCTGCCCCCCCCCCACACACACACACAGCAGGAGAAGACCTCACACCGCGGCTCTCCTCATCGTGCTCCTACACTCATGGGGGGGGGAGGAGGCGTTCTCACCTGCTCCACCAGTTTGCAGCTCAAAAGCACGTAGGCGCCGCTGAAAATGTAGGCCATGTCCCGCGGGACGCGCAGGTCGTACTCCTCGTCCGACTTCGGCACCTTGACTCACAAACACCGATCACACGGTCAATAAAAAGCGGCGCGCCCAGCGGCGGGGGGGGCGGAGGAAGAGGAGGAGGCTCTTTACCAGGTTGAGCTTCCGGCTGAGGGCTCTGAAGTTGCTTTTCCTCGCCAGCGACGAGAAGGCATCGGTCAGCTTACCTGTCAACAAAAGGTACGGAGCAAATAACGACCGGGAACCAAACGATCGGCGTACGCAGATGGAATGAGACCAGAGGGGCCCCCCCCCGTCTCACCCGCGGTTTTGTCGTTGACCAGCTTCCCCACTTTGCTCTCCATGGCGCTCAGCGCCTCCCCCGCCGGCTGCTCCGCCAGCAGACCCGCCTGCCGCAGGTTGGAGAAGGTCAGCAGGTGGTCCGCGCCGTAGCTCTGAGGAGGCCCGAGGCAGAGAGACAAAAGGGACACTATCAAAGCACCTGAGGGCAACGGTGAGCGAGGTCATCGCCCCCGTGGAGGTGCAGACGGATTAAAACGAAGATCTCACAAAGATCTCACCTGCAGATACTGAGCTTTTAGTGAGCGGTAATCCTTTGGCAGAAGTCCTGTGGGAGACAGCAGGCGGTTGTTAATGCGCCCGGAGAGACGTGATCTCAACCGTTTGATGAAGACAACAAACCGTTTTCTGTGATGGACAGAAGACAAAGAAGCCTCAGACTCTCCATCATGGACACCTGGAACCAAAGCAGAGCACGTTTTACTGAGACGCTAATAATAATAATAATAATAATAACTTCACCCAGAGTGTTAATCGTGAAACGCACCTGTCGGCTGATGTGCTCCTCTAGGAAAGAAATGCTCTCCCGGATTTCAAATCCTTCAAGTAAAGCTGGAAGAGAGAAGAGACTTTATCATTTTTATACTTTATATACTTCAGAATGTTTGCACTGCTTTAAATCTCTGTTAGGAAGAGAAGCCGTTCTGTCCGACTGATCTCTTCTTCACACCAGACTCCTTTGAGAAAAACCTCGATTTAAGCTCTGGGCACAGAGCCGGTCCCCTCGCCCCCCCACCGAGCGCTCAGTTTGAGTTATTGTGTGACTACCGCTGCTTTATTAACCCCGAAGCCCTCTTTAGTGATTAAATAATAATGATTATTACTACAATGAAGATAATAATAATAAATTATGTTAACAACATTAAAATTGAAATGAATTTATTGAAAATATTGAAATTTATTGAATTTATTGAAGTGATTTATTTTATTAATTCAATTTTCTTCGTTGGATGTTTAGTGAGAACTGAAACACATATTTTTATAAATAATTAGTCATTTCTATGAATTACCTGGTGTTATTTTGATGTTAGTTTTACATAAAGGGTCACACAATAAGAAGCTCCAGGCAGCGAGGAGCTCCTGGGAGGTAAAAGCACTGACATTCTCAATGGAGTCTGGTGTCTCTGGACACAGAACGTTCCCCTCAGTAATCTCTCATTGATGGTTCTTGGTTGTAAAAGGACATTTGAACATTGGCGCTTGTGGTTCTCCTCCATCTCCTGCAGTAGAACCCTGATACTCTGGAGGAGAAGCTTCTGAACTCTCTCTCTAGTGATTAAAGAAGACGGAATTCTCACAGTGTTCCGTCTTCAGCAGCTCCTGGAAGTCCTGCTTGGTCTTCTTCTTCATGATGGACTCACTCGCCCCGATGTCTGAAAGAGAGCGAGCTCTTCAGAGGCCTGAAACCGGTGAACCGGTGAACGGAGGAATGAATGAATCCCGGCGCGCGATGACAGCTTCCTCACGCATGCTCAGCAGCCGGTGCTCCTGCTTCAGCCCTTTGAGCTCCTCCGACACGAACGCCTTCATCTGCTTGATGTCCATCCCCCGGCGCTTCTGTGGGTTCAACACACGGGGAGGCAGAGCAGAGCGTCTCAGTCTGCACTGTAAAGGATCGGCGGCACGGCGGGGGGGCGGAGTCACTCACGTCGTACGCGCCCTGCAGGTTCCTGGCCTTCTGACTCAGGAAGCCGAAGACGTTGGAGAAGTGCTCGTTCCGGATCTCGTTGAAGACCTGAGAGGGTTAAAACATTCGACTCAGGAGGCCGTGATGGTGACGAGGAGGAGGAGGAGGAGGGGGAGGAGGAAGAGGATACCTTATCCTGAGAGTTCAACATGACTTTCAGACTTTTGTCAGACGACGTGACGTCAGGTCCGAACTCCACGCATCCTGCAGGAGAGACGCCGATAAGCCGACATGAGCTCCGTTAATCGGGAGGCGGAGTCTCGCCCTCATCAGGTTTCAAATCTGCTCCAAACAGTCTACGTGTATATGTACAGTCTAAGTGCCCTGAAATGAAGGCTTTGCAGAGGACGGGACCACTGAAACCAGACAGCTGCTTTCACACCCACCGCATTTGATTCTAAATATGTCGTCCACGAGTCCCTCGTAGACGACTTGTGAGCACAGCGGAGTGACGAAGTCCACATCTGCAGACACAACCAGCACGTTACAGAGGGAAGCAAGCGGCACCAGCCCTCCGCTCCATGTCTGCCGCACTGCGCCTTTAAGGGCCCAGATGTTCTCACCTCTGTCGATGAGGAACACCTTTCCTATCTCCGCCCGACGGGCGGTCTGCTCGCCCTCCTCCACCTGCTCCCTCCACGACTCGTACGCCATCTGGTGGCAGACAGGAGGCGTTAGCGCCGGCGGGGAGACAGAAACGCGCTTACTTGCTCCGCCGCTGCGACAGTCCTCCACCTTGGAACACCGGCCGATCCCGTAGAGCTTGGAGAAGGGGCCGTAGAGGGAGTGGAGGAGGTGCAGCGCGCTGCCGGCTGTCCTCACCCAGCGCTGGTCCCCCGCCTGAGGGACCAAAGACGACCTGAAGCCCGTCTCACTCACGTATACACACTTGAATCGACAATTGCATCACGCGCTGTCCTGTTATTTTAATATATATATTTAATATTCTTTTATTGTTGGTCCGTTCAGTCTGATGCAGTGAGAGCGATATGTTCATTTTTTACCAGGAAGTTGTCTCGAAAGAACTCTGGCAGCTCCATGCTGATGACGTCGTCGTCGAGGGGAAGGAGACAGAAGGACCACTCGTCAGTGGTCACCTCTGTGGGACGATGGAACAAGTTATCAGCATCATGTTGGAACATCATTCATTTCCCATAGAATCACTATTACAAGTAGATTCATTGTGGAGCTTAATTACTGAGCGTACTTTAAGTAGAGAAACACAAAGTGAGGAAATGAAGACGCTCACCCCCGAAGATGCCCTGCTCCTCCAGCATCGCCTCGCACGCATAGAACTGCAACACACAGCGGGGGGGGGGTCATGATCATTGATCGGTCCCATTCAGATGAAGGGAAGCAGAGGAACTACCTTCCGGGGAGTAAAGATGATCTTGTATCTTCTGAATCGTCCCGCTGCCTTGTCTGCATTGGCCACATCTGGAACGAGAAGGACCGCGGCCGTGCTTTACAGCCGTCACAAAGAAGACAACAACCGCAGGGATTTCTAATTTTCTTTCTTCGAAACCCTGATAAAGAAATTGCAATAAAGGCAAAAAATAGTTGCCGAAAGCATCCGGTTGGTGGACTAATGGATGATCACTCACCACAGATCCATTTGACAGTTTGTATTCTCGGCCGGATCAGAAAGCAGAGCCTGAAGGAGAGAGGAGACGCGTCACATCATCAGGTGTGTGTGTGTGTGTCTTCAGCTATCATTAGGACCATGAAGGGCTCACTGATCTGAGGTGCTGACGACAGGTTTGTGTTCCACTTTGTAGAGTTTGTCGACTTCGTGTTGCTGTAAAATGAAAACGGAAAAAAAGGTCACTCGAAGGTTCCTCGAGAGTTTCTCAGCCGAGCGGACGAACGTCCGGGTTCACCTTCAGCGTCGACACGTTGGCGATGCGGTCCAGCGGGCTCATCAGGTCCGCCTCAATGAAGAGGTCCTTCTTCCCCGGCAGCTGTGTGACCACAGGAGGAAGACGGGAGGGTGAGAAGACAAAGACTAAAAGGACAATCTGTCCCACGGCACACACACACAAACAGGAGAATTAGTATTTTCAAACACTTCGACCTACGCAGCCTCAGTTTGTCCCGCCGGCACATCCATTCCTCGACCAGGAAGTGCACAGGACCAGGAAGTGCACAGTTTCAGTTCATAACAGCCGGCCATGGAAGTCTTTTTAAATGAACGACACTCAAATAAAAGGGAAGAGGAGCACTTGTTTCTGTGGCAGCCGGACGGTGAGGCTCACTGTCTGTTTTTAAATGGAAATCTATGACACATCAGGCGGTTGGATACGTTGACTAAACTAGTTTGAATGAGAAGGAGAACGTTAAAAGGCTCTAAACAGGAAGTGGAACCGTTTCCCCAGAGAAACACGTTGTGGCAGATGGGGTCCGGTCAGCTGTGCAGCAGATGCAATTATAGTGTAAAGGTGTAGTTACATATTGAATAACTGTTCTACAACGAAAGAGCTTTTCTCGCCTGGAGGGAGATGACCAGACCGGTGTTGTCCTTACCTGCTCCAGCAGGTAGATGAGCTGATCTCTGGGCCAGCCTCTTCAGCAGAGAGAAGTCGGGCAGCTCCGGGCAGTCCGTCCTGGCACTGTGGGCCATGCTGCTTTATGCTCTGGAATCCAAACAAGCGACGACAGAGAGGCTGCAATCAACACAAGCACACAGAGAGACAAAAAACACCCGCCATATGCTGTGAGTGACCTAGCTAGCGTTAGCTCGGAGGCTAAAAACACATCCTTAACATCACAGGACATTTCTTAGCACTAGCGTCAAAGAGCTGGCAGTTTTGTGGAAATAACCTCACAAAAATGTCTAGAAAGCATCAGAAATGAAGCAGCATGTATTTGTGAAAACATTGTAAAAGGGGGCGATAATCTGATATTAAAAGCTACCTGCTGCTTCCGTAGCTAAAAAAGGCGGAACATATCTCATCTTCGTCTGCGGTTTCCACCCGGACCACACAAAGGTCGGACTGCTACACCGGTGGTTAAAAAGGGGGACGTTGAAGTCCAGTCGCAGCATTGTTTCTTATTCTTCTTCCTGTCATTACTTTTCCACCATGAATTCCGACACAGCCCTACTTTTAGAAACCGTTCACTTCGCGGCGGAGAAACATCGCAGCCAACGACGGAAAGACCCCGAAGCAACGCCGTACATTAACCACCCCATCGGTAGGGCCGCGCGAGCTCCGTGCCGGTGCCTTCAGGTGCTGCCCGGACAAACCGCAGCGAATAATTACATTGGAAGGGAGTGACGCCTTTAAGTATTTATTTATCGAGTGATACCTTATAACAGTATAATAAATATGATTCTACAACTGATTTTTGCGTGATCAGTCATCTAACTTGTTGGTCTATTGAGTGTCAGTGTTTGGGTAAGGAATCGGATTAGTAGTTAATAAAGCATGAACTATAAATTGTGTAGTTTTACATAAATGCAGAGGTATCAGTATCGATATCAAACAGTTTACAAACCATGTTTCCATTGTATCCAGCAGAGGTACATTTTTTTATTTTTCCCGTAAAATAGTTTATATGTTGGTCAGAATTATACAAAAGATTTATAATCCAACTGATTTTTTATCAGATTGTTGTTTATGCCACAAAAAGTAATTCCACTGCGGATATATTGTGAGTACTAGTGTTGAAAAATACATGTTTTCCTGTTGTGTTAATTGTTCATTTATCTCTTAATTGCACATGAAATATGTGTAAGTATTTGAACCTCCAATCCTTCTCTTCTAATGTTAAACTTTTGAGGAGTGGCCAGAGTCCTCACACATGAAGGCGGCATCACAGACATCGAGGTCTTGCAGGTTGGTACGGTACATTCTTAAATAACTTCCTGTTGCTTCTTGTTGTAGCTAAACCGGTTTTTCTTGTCCTCCCCGCAGGCGGCTCTGCTGCACGACACCGTGGAGGACACCGACACCTCGCTCGCCGAGCTGGAGGCCAAGTTCGGGCCTATCGTGGCTCGGATCGTGGAGGAGGTGACGGACGACAGGAACCTGTCCAAAGAGGAGAGGAAGCAGCAGCAGGTGGAGCACGCGGCGCACAGCAGCCGCCAAGCCAAGCTGGTCAAACTGGCTGACAAACTGTACAACCTGAGGGATTTGAACCGCTGCACGCCGAAGGGTCAGCTCCGCCCTGTCCCTCTCCCACTGTGATCATTTGACTCATGTTCTCCTTTTATTAGTTCACTTGTTAAAAGAAGGCTGCTAAAATTAGCGACAAATAATGTTCTAGCACGAACCGGCTGGGTGTGAATATCCGAAGCTTCATGTGTTAAAGCTGCATTCTCTGTAGTGACCAGCAGGGGGCGACTCCTCCATTTCTCTTGATTTACTTCCTCAGTAAACAGTCAACAGGAATCAGGAAACATTTATTACCATAATATGCCAAACATACAAGGAATTTGTCCTGGCGGTTGGTGGCGACAGTAGACAATGTGACAATAAACAAGACAGCAGTGCACAAGTAATAAAATAAAGTAAAATGAAATGCTAATGCAATGGGTTAGTAAATAAGGCTACGGGTTAGTATAAAACAAGGGAATAAAGTTAAACAATTTAAATATTAGAAAAGTTAAAAAAGAAATATTAAGCATAATGTGCACTAACGAACAAGTAACAAAGACATTTATACAGTGTCGCTATGTCACTCCTCAGTCCAAATATCGTCACTTCCTTTTTAGCAGTTGCAAAAAAAACGTCAGTTATTATATTATTATTATCCAGGATGGCGACAATTGCAGATGTCCATGGCACAAAATCCACGGGGAACTTCACGATGACCGTGTCCACCTCTCGTGTAAAGTGTGCTCAGGTCTCAACATTCAAAGTAAAAGTCTAGTAGAGATGTTCCTTTCAGAGAGTTGCGTCACAGACACGTCGCCCTGTCTTGTCTTAATGCACGCTACTCAAACGGAGACGCTCTACGGACACTGGAAGACACAACAGCGGTCCGATAAAGTTTGTGTGTGTGTGTGTTTGCCACAGGTTGGACAGCCGAGCGGGTGCAGGAGTATTTCGTCTGGGCCCGCGAGGTGCTGAGAGGCCTGAAAGGAACCAACTCGGCTCTGGAGGAGAAGCTGGAGGAGCTGTTCAGGCAGAGAGGAATCCAGCTGTGACGACGCAGCGGACCGATCCACTTACAAAGAAGATACTTTTTGATTTGTAAATTCTAGAAATAAACCCTATCATTACATCTGTGTAGTAACTGGTATTTCTGTTTATATATATATGCAGTCATATAATTGAATTGAGTATTATTGAGTATCAGTAGTTGGAATGGAACTTGTTGGAATATTTTCTCCTCCCGCTTTCACTTAAATTTTCAACTCCACTACGTTTCAGATGGAAATAAGTTTTACTTCACTGCAGTTATCTGAGGGCTTTGTTATGTTACAAACACTAAAAGCATGGAAATGCAAGAGAGATTGAAAGGAAATGCATTATCAACTACTTCGATCATTTTTTATTGATTATTCTTGCTATCAACAGTTCACAAAACAAACACTGTAAACTATTACTTTGGGCTCAGGCGTCATTTAGCCTTATTTTCACAAACCACACAATCACTCTTAGTAAGGATAAAACCAATCAACTGATCAACAGTCTTTGATTAAAATGCGTGTTTATGAATGAACTTTTTAGAGTTTTAATACTGTGGCATTTTTCTATAGCATCTGTTGATCTTAAATCAGCCACTGGATGGCACTACTACGTTCTTAAATTGCTTTTATCTTCAAATTATATATTTTTTTATGACACTAAACCCAGAATTATAGAACACACGGGGTCCACAAAGTCAGTTAGATGTGGTTTTGTGTTCATTACTCGATCATTATTCGTTACTCTGTTGAGAGGAAGTGTCCGTCGGAACAAATCAACTTCCGGTCCGCCAGCTCGTCGGCTAAACTTCCGGTTGACTGAAAGCAGCGACGAGCTCATTTTGTGCCATTAAATACATCCTATTTGAGCTCACATTCGGTGGAAACCGTCTACCAGGCCGCCATGTCGAGTCGCGAGGCCCTCAACATGAAGCTTCCCCCGATCCAGTCCACGGCCGGAGCCGTGCCGGTCCGGAACGAGAAAGGTAATAGCGGCGCTAACGGGGGCTAACGGGCGGCCAGCTGCGTGCTAAGCTGTTAGCCTGCTAGCTTAGTTTGTTTAGTTATGAGACGCGTAGCAGTCATTTCGGGTGATGCCTTTGATGTTTGGGTTGTGTATTGTAGCCACAGGAGCAAAAGTATTTTTGATGAACTTCATTGAAAACAACAACGTCCTTGTAAAAGCGAACCGTTATGAACAAACGGGTTTACGTTACCAAGGAAAAGTATTAAATACATTAACATTAAATATTCAGCACATTCCTGAACCGCCCTTCCACTAAACAATAAACAGCAGATACATTTTATTGTGCTTTACTTTTTGTTTGTCTTTGTTTGTTTGTCTCCAAATTCCAAAAAGTAAAACCAGTATTATTACTGAACCACCACAATGCTTTTACTATAACGTTACACTCCAAAGATGATAATTTACTATCATATAGAAGAGAATGGATGTATTGTCAAAACTGTTGCTAGTTTTTTTTAATACCACAAATGTTAACAGCTGTTGTGGTTCTGTAGTATTTTAGTCCCTCAGAGGAATGAAGTGACTTCAACACTTAGAACTGAAATTGTGACCGTCGACATAATCGTAACCTTATGAAGTGAGTCAGTCATTGCTAAAGGAACACGCGTCTCCTCGTGTTCCAGGTGAGCTCTCCATGGAGAAGGTGAAGGTGAAGAGGTACGTGTCCGGCAAACGTCCCGACTACGCGCCGATGGAGTCGTCCGACGAGGAGGACGAGGACTTCCAGTTTGTGAAGAAGGGAAAGGAGGAGGAGGCGGAGGTGAAGCAGGAGGAAGAGGACGTCTCCGACCCGCGCCTCAAGCGTCTGCTCAACCGTGTCTCCGAGGACGTGGAGGAGAGGTGAGGAGTCGCACGCGTGACCCTTAAACGCTGCGCTGGCCAAACCCCGATCTGACCACGTGGTGTTTTGTCATTTCTGGTCCTCAGGCTGGCGAGACACCGACAGATCGCAGAGCCCGAAGTCGTCGCCGAGAGCAGCGAGGACTCCGATGAAGGCACGTGGCACCCGGAGCACCCAGAGGAGAGTAGTGAGGAGGAGGAGGAAGAGGAAGAGGAGGAAGTGGACGACGAGGTAGGTGTCCTCTCTTTGTGATCTGCTGGTCACACTCTGTGTTTCTTCTTTATGTTGAGAAAAGCTTTTCTTTCTTCGCCCGCGCAGGAGATCGAGCGGAGGCGGTCGATGATGCGCCAGCGAGCCACCGAACGGAAGAACGAAGAGATGGAGGTGATGGAGGTGGAGGAGGAGGGGAAGTCGGGGGCGGAGTCTGAGTCCGAGTCCGAATATGAAGAGTACACGGACAGCGAGGACGAAGCGGAGCCTCGGCTCAAACCGGTCTTCATCCGCAAGTAAGGACACTTTGTTCATCTACAAACAGAGAAAATAATGCTTCAATTCATTTGTATAACATCCTTTTAAAAAGTTCTCTACAATTACTTAAAATAAACAGATTGAACGTGAAAAGCAGGAAGATAATGCTGTTATTAATGTAAAATAACACCCTCGTAATAATAATAATAATAATAATATGCAAACCTACTGTAGATATTTAAATGTTGACTACCGATCAGTTGGACCGTAAACGTGACTAACAAGGATGTTGCGTCTCCTGCAGGAAGGACCGAGTGACGGTGGCGGAGCGCGAGGCGGAGGAGCTGAAGCAGCGAGAGCTGGAGGCCGAGGCCAAGAAGCAGGTGGAGGAGCGCCGGCGCTACACCCTCAAGATCGTGGAGGAGGAGGCCAAGAAGGAGTTTGAGGAGAACCGGCGCACGCTAGCCGCCCTGGACGCGTTGGACACGGACGGCGAGAACGAGGAGGAGGAGTACGAAGGCTGGAAGGTCAGGGAGCTGAAACGCATCAAGAGGGACCGAGAGGTCCGGGAAGTGTGAGTAGAAATCCCCGTTTGCTTCCCCCCGAATGACGGCGTGAGCGCTGAGAGGAGCCTGACGTGTGCGTCTGCTCCGCAGCATGGAGAAGGAGAAGGCGGAGATCGAGAGGTTCCACAACCTGACGGAGGAGGAGCGCCGCGCCGAGCTCCGCAACAGCGGCAAGCAAGTCACCAACAAAGCCAGCAAGGGCAAATACAAGTTCCTGCAGAAGTACTACCACCGAGGAGCCTTCTTCATGGTGAGAGCGTCTACGAACAGCCGGTTGTGGAATCTTCATTCAAACTTGTGTCTTTACAGGGTTTGTATGAGGACAATAAAGTAGTGCGTTATGTGACGTGTGCGTTTATTGATGATTACCATCCTTCCTCTATATTTAGTGAAGGGTTGTCTTTCTTCCTTCCATCTTTTATCGCCCATCACTAGTTATTCCGTATTATTGGAAGAATCCAGTGCATTTGAATGTCTTTTTTCGATGTTTGATAAGATGTTAAAGCACCAGATGAATGTTTCAGGATGAGGAGGAGAACGTGTACAAGAGAGACTTCAGCGCGCCGACTCTGGAGGACCACTTCAACAAAACCATCCTCCCCAAAGTCATGCAGGTCAGTCCAACTTTAGTTCTTTTGTTTCACGGCGGGACGTCTCGAGGAACATCTGGGTGTGCTGATTATTTTTATCATGTAAAGCACTTTGGCTGGACGTTGGTCTTCTAAAGTGCTACATGAATAAAATTGACATTGACATTTTGTAGTGAAAAGAAACTCACGGGTCCGTTTTTAGATTTTGGTTTTCCATAACAAGTCGTCTTCCAGACTCGTGGGAAGAAAGTATTTATTTTACTACTTTTTGTATTTTCCTCTTAAGTTAGTTCCTAATTAGATGCTCCCTCATTTGCACATGTAAATACAAAATAATCCTCTCAATGTCCAGCTGATATGAAAATGAGTCACATGTTCAGACTAAATTAGGCAACATTTCATTACTAGAAACATAAAGTAGATTTCTGTCTGACAGTATTTCCTCGGTTATGTTGTGACATGAAGCGATATCTTTTGAATTAGATTTCTGTCCAAATATGAACATAATTAATTCCACCTCATTTGCATATTCAAACAGTTTTTCTCTCAAAATTCTGAAGAGAAAGAAAGTAGTAAAACTGTTTAACGAGTAAACCTTTAACCATGAAAGTAGAAGCATCTTTCATAGTTTATTTTAGCAGTTGGACTTGAAGGTGAAGGTGGGGTCCAGTTGTCTGATACGATCGGTTTCACCCCCCAGGTGAAGAACTTTGGCCGCTCCGGACGAACCAAGTACACCCACCTGGTGGACCAGGACACCACCTCCTTCGACTCGGCCTGGGCCCAGGAGAGCGCCCAGAACAGCAAGTTCTTCAAGCAGAAGGCGGCGGGCGTGAGGGACGTGTTCGACCGGCCCACCGTGAAGAAGAGGAAGACCTGAGGACAACGGGGACGCGGGGGGACGACATGACTCCCCAGAGACTGTTTCTCTGCTGGATCAAAGCAGCCAACGGACCGGTTCCAACCTGAAGCTACTTGAGGCAGAATGACTGACGGATTAAACGTCCTGCTGGCTTTTATTTTTAAAGCGGGTTGTCATCTTGTACAAAGCAGCTGCAACTTTGTTTATTTCATGTGTGTTGAATAAAACGTGTATTTTCATCTCTTTGTCTCATTAAGAGCTAAACAAATAACTTTAAATCCAAAAAAGGCACAAACTGAGGCAGATCAACTTTTATTTAAAAAAACACAGTTCAGATTGGGCTCTTTTGGGGGGTGAAACAGTCCGGTGCGTTTGTTCAGTTGGTCAGGGCCACCAGAGCCTCCACCACGTTCCCCATGTGTTCCCGCAGGCCGCGCTCCGCCACCGACCTCGAGATCTCCATCTCTGACATCTGTACGCCGACACCACAATACCGAGGGTCAAAGCCTTTCAAATATTTCACTGGATGAAAGACGAGTTTGTAAATTTCACTTCAATGTTTTACTTTTCTCCAGAAACTCAATGTTTTATAGTTCAAGGTAACTAGTGATTAATTAAAGTGGTAATTTAATGGGTCATATTTAACTGATTATAATAAGGCAGTTTAACTTACATATTAGAGATGCATTTCCATTATAATCAAAAGCTGATTAAAAGTAATTTATTCACATTACACAAAAA